AACCTTGCTCGACGCGACTTCTGGCGTGGAGGACAGGAAGGCGGGTGGGAAGGCGGTTATTGCTTGGAGGGAGAGTCCCCCTCCCTACAGGAAGCCATGACCACATGTCACGGCATGGAAAATGGCCGTGGATCCTGTTCGTCACCCGATCCGGCGTTCGTGAACGGAAGCAAAATTTTGCGAACGGTGCTGTTCGTGACCCGAATTGGTCGTGAACAGAAGCGTTCGTGACCCGAGGTATCCCTCTCCTGTGATTTGTTGCTTCTAGTGATGCTTAGGGAAATTTTTCAGCAACTGTTCCAAGAGTAGAATATAAGGACTTGTGGTTTTTATAAGAACACTACTATATTCCCTCAAGACTACATTGTGTAGCTCAAGTAATATTAGGAAACTATATTATTTCTAAAGGCCATTTAGAAAGCATACTATTTGGGATTAGTCCTGTGATTTTGTTTGTTGAAGTATATTCTCTTTAACAATTTTAAAACATCAGCATTAATCTCTCCACAGAGTCAGAATGGATAATAAGTACAGCATCATGGCCTTGTGATAGAATGGATGTCCTCAATCGACATAATCTGCTATATACTATAGCATCTGACTTAATGACAAAGAACCGGTATGGAGAAACGTTTGAAGTCTTACGAAATCTCCCAGGCTTTCAGAATACTTGTGGTAAGTTGTTAGTACCTCTGTGTTACTTAGTACTAAGATTACAGAAATTTTAGTTTGAATCTGAGTCATGGCGATTTTCATTACCCAGAGGTGCTTGTGATTGGGAGTATATAAACAAATATCTCTATTTTTGGTCACTTAATAAATCACATTCGCCAATAAAGGTAGCTCTACTTATTCACAGGGATTCTGTGCCCTCTCAGCCACAGGGCCTAACCTTTGGAATAGCCTGAGATCCGATGGCCTATACCCTGTTGGCCTTCTGGAAGGTTGTGAAGACCATACTTTTTCTAAGGTATTAGGGACAGGATATTAGTGGAGACCCATATATCTATTGGTGTTGTGATTTGTTTTGAGGCACCTTGGTTATAGCATGATTATGATGATGATTAATTGTATTCTGTACTGTTTTGTTTTGGTTTTTTTATTAATACAGTTTTTATGTATTGTTCGTTGGCTGCCCAGATTTACTTGTTTAAGATGGGTGGCCATATAAATTTTTCAAACAAATAAATAAAACTATAGATAACAATACCCTGAATGAGTTCTTGAAAAAAAAAAAAAGTGTCCAGACGCATAAAAGCTCATGTACTATTTTGCATGTGCATAAGGTAACAGAAAACAAGATGAAAACCTTTACGGGTATCAAAAATTGGGTTGTCTAGAAACAGCAAATATTAGATCTGCAGAAAATGAGGACCACCTACACTAAAAATTGCACCTTTGTTTTGTTTCAAGTGTTTCCTCTGGATATTTCATTTTACTAACCTAAGCTTGGCAACTGTTTTTTCCTTCAGTAAGAGGAAACTGTTTAGTTTAAAGCAACTATTTCTTTTTGTTTGTATCCTATGTATATTTCCTGAGATCCTTAAAATTAAGAAATTTTAAGGGACTTTTGGAAAAAGTCCCTTAAAAATGTTTTGCTTGATAGTTTGCAGATCTTCATAAAATTTGTGTTCTCATAAAATGTATTTTCAGATAGTATCTATTATAGCCCTTTTATTTGTACTGTATGTTCTTTTGAATTTTTAATATAAGGTATACATAACAATTTTGCAGTGTGCCTGGTTCCTATTTAAGAAGCTACTGTATGGAATTGAAGGAGAAAAAAATAAGTTTCTCAATTGTTCTTGACATCTATATAAGAACTTAAAACAGGAAAAAGTCTTTTATATAGTTTGCATCATTTCATTGATGAAAGAAGTAGTCTGCTTCATAGCTGAAGAATATTCCTAAATTTTCTCTTACAGACACTCTGGATGTATCCCAGTACAGCCTTTTGTTTAATAAACTGCTAAGTGCTTGTTCAGAAAGTAGGAACACTGGACTATCATCTGTTGTAGTAGAGTTCATGCTTGCAAGAAATATCCCTGTTGAATTTAATTTACTTCGAGCATTAATCACAGCACTGGGAAGAAGTTGTTTGTGGCTCAAGGCCAGGACACATTATAAAAGTAAGCTTTCTTAAAGATATATCATTTTTTATGGTTGAAAAACTTCACATAAAAATGTTTGCACAAAAAAATTATTCACAGTTCCATTAGCATTGAAGAATACTGCCCAGAATTATTTTGGAGACATCTACTTGGATGTCATTTTAAATTTATGAAACTTCTGATGGCATAAAAATCTGTTGTAGTAGACTGATGGGCAAACATTGAAATGGTTTGAGATTATTAAAAGGATTGTGTAAGACATCTGTATATTAACCATTCTGTGCATGGAACAGATGTTTTTTGGTGCTCCATGCCTGAACTAAAACATGTTTTGATCTGTTTCTGGGATGGAATGGATCTCTTTTATTCTAGATACATACCAAAACATGTTTGTTCTGGGCAGGAATGGTTTGAACAGGGGTAAAGAGCAGGAAAAAGCAAGGCTGGGTGTTTTCTTGGAGACCATATGTATAGACAACAGAGTGGCAACAGAGCAGGGCACTGGGAAGGTCTGGGGATGAGCAGGCCAGCATGTTAGCCCTACACAGGAGGAGGCAACATGCACCAGTATTGGTCTACCTGCCTTGTAAAATCACTTAGGGGTTCTTCAAAAATTTATTTTGGCAAAAAAACAGAACCACAATTACATTTCAGATTGTATTTCTGCTGAACTGCAGCCAATCTGAACAGTTCATCAGAACTTCCAGAACATAATGGTGGCTTGGATTCATAATAAAACATACTTTCTACTGCATCCCTAATTATTATCATTGAGATGTTACCTGCTTGCTATAATTTAAGACTTGTGTGATACATATATTTTCAAGTAGACCCATGTTTTTTCTAAATTTCATACATTGGATTTTTTTAGAAGAGATTTATGGCAGGAAAAAAAGCATACTTCAGCAATATAACTTTGCTTCTTTTTTTAGAAAGGAAAAAAACCCTGGCCATTATTTAATAATCCATGGAAGAATTTTAAAGATGGTTTATAGTTTCCCATTTGTACTGGCATACATAAAATGTACTTGGGCATTCTAAATAAGCAACAAGGATTGCTAATTTTCTTCTCCTTTCCATTTATCAAGAATATCCAAAGGAGTTAACAGTATGAAAATGGAAAAAGTTCAGAGTTGTCTAGATGTAGAAGTAACCTTAAAAGTTGTAATAAGCTATAGAAACTAGAGATATATGTTTAGTCAGTGTTAACCCCTCTTCTCATTTTTTTTTCCTGTCACTTTTTAGGTGCTTTAGCATTGGGTTGCTATCCACCACCAGAGGGAAATCTTTATCGTAAACTTTTACTGATTCCTTCTTATATGACTGAAGTTGAAATGCTGTTAGCAATTGAAATATTTTTGGTTTCAAATGCTAGTAGTATTCAGAGTCCTGGAGCTTCCAGTCAGATACTTCAAATAGTATTAAAAAGGTTGGTGTCTATTCCAGATGTATGTGTAATCAGCTGAAAAAGTTGTTGCTCAAGTATTGATTTATCCCATGGAAAAGATGTTGTAATATTTTATTACTTCTTTATTTAGACATTTATATGGCTACCTATTAAGCAAATAACTCTGGTTAGCTAACAATACAGACCAATAAAACTAATATTTTATTAGTTGCTGACATAATTAAGTATAATAATGAATCAGGTATTCTTCCTTGCCTCCTTTCATTTCCAGTCATGGAAATGAAAGATTGCTATTGAAAGTCTTCCAGAACAACGGAATGTTAATCATAACTCTTGTGATTTTTAAAACTTTTCTAGATGTGAAGGTAACGATGTACGAAACAATGAAGACTATCAGAATGCTGTGGAGAGGCTGATTCAGGCTGCTCGCATATCTAATCCAAAGCTTTTCATAAAGCATTTGACAGTCAATGTTAATATGGAGCAAGTTTATAGTTTGGAGCATACTTGTGTACTTAAATGGTTGAAAGAAAATATGAAATGGGCAGGAAAAGTCTGGCTTTTTTAGTCAATTAAGACTTTGGTTACAGTAATCATTTAAAATCAATAAAGGTTGTTTCTGTTGTGTTCAGACTCTTATTTACATAATTCATTATTTCAGTTTCTATCATAAAGAAAATAATAGGGAATATGGCTTTCTAACGTGGCCAGTTCTTGATAAAAAATTTTCCTATGTCAGAATGTGCTCACAATTCAGGGTTTGAATTTGAGGTTACATAATCTTTACTGTCTCTGAAAAACAAGGCTGCTGTCATAGAAATAATGAGTTTACAGCTCTGAGGACAGTATATAATAAAAACCCCAATTCAAAGTAAACATAAGGGAAGTTTAAAAAAGAAACCAACCATAAACAGAAGCTTCAAAACACTGAAATCTTTAAACATGATGATAGAAATAAAAGATAAACTCTTCTTTGAGTTGAGCTCAGCTCCTGGGGATGTAATGGACATGTCCCTGTGTGGGGTGGGTTTTTTTGGGGGGGGGGGTTGGTTGGTTGGTTGGTTGGTTTTTGCAACAGGAGAGGAGTGGTTTCCCTCTGCTTTGTTTCCCTGGACATTGTTTCTACTTCTCAGGCTAGCCTGAAATCCTGGTGTTGCCTGGTAGTATGCCATGTCTAGATCAAGCCTACTTACCTGATTAATATCCTCCAAGGTCCGTTAGGTAGTACCATTAAATCTGTTCAAATGACACAGCCAAAATGAAATAGGACTAGAAAGCTCAAAAGCATTAAAAGGTCTCGAGATTCAAATAGGTGTTCAGTGGATCTTTCCTGCAGAATGGTTCATAATGGGAGAAGGGTGTCTAATACTAAGTAAAATAGGGAGTGGTATGTTCATACTTAAGGCAAGATTATTTAAGAGATACTCCTTCAGATACTCAAGCCTTGAAATATCTTTTAAGTTAACACTAGCTGATTATACCATATTTGTAAAGCTTACTTTGAATCAGTACTAAGCGATGGCATTTTGTATTAAGCTTCTGAGCAAACTTGTCTTCCACATTCAAACTTGCATGGACAACTATTAGGTGTGCGTGTTAGCTTCTGTTCTGGTAATCATTCTTCAACACACAACTTATTTTCAGGACTCTAGGAATTCATGATTATAAGGTATAAAGCAAATCTAAATATCACAGAAACATTAAATTTATATTAAAGCAATTTAAGAATCTTTACCAGCAAAAGTAGTACAGACTTTTTCTTTTGTAATCTGTTCTATGTTTTATATACAGTTTGTATGTCATGTGGTTTATTTTAGTGAACTCCATCACTGAGTTGATTGGCAGCCTTATAAAGTCATTCTCAATTCCTCTTATTTTCCTATGTACTTCCAAAGATCTTCCATCATTTGCCATCTGCATTAAGCTTTTTGAAAACTCATAAAGTGTTTCTAAGGTGTCCCATTTCTGAAAACATCTGGGTGACCAGTGGAATAAAAATATAATTATTCCTTAACTAATGGAACAATAAACTTATTGTTAGCATGTTTGGATATGGCTGCCATACCTGCCTGACCTCACCTGATCCAGGAAACTAGAGTCAGGCCTGGTTACTAGTTTGATGGAAGACCACCAAGAAATCTCAGGATTATAGACTAGATTGAGAAATCAAACATGGAGGAAGAGGGCAATAGAAAACCTACTTATGTCACGTGTGTGTCACTGCAGACTTTATAGCAGGAGAGCTGATTAGACTATGGTAGGAGTCTGGTGGTATCTTTTCAGACACAATTTTTATATTTACTCCATATTTGACAAAGCTGATGCCTTTTAATAAAATGCATTAAAAAAAAGTACTGGATTTCTGATGTGTCCCTTTAGTCACCACTGGTCATGGCCAACTCGAGAACATCTTAACTGCACTGAGTGATCTACACTTAGCATTTGTACAGTACCTCCAGCAGTTGGGCTTGGGAATGCCATTCTTTCCTCCGCTGAGATGAACGCGAGCTCATGTCTACTCTGAAATCTGGAATGAATGAACACTAAGCGCTCGCAGAGAAGGTTCTTGCCAACCGCTTAAAGGCTGGCCCCTGTACGTGCACGGCATAAAGACAAGGCTGAGGGGCTGAATTCCAGTTCCACTTAAAGGCCGAGGCCTTTCAACTGAAATTACAAAGGAACCTCGATACAGACGCTCTAATAAGTATCGCCTCAGCTAAACTCGCCTGCTAGGTGACGCGCGCTCCCGCAGCAGCTCTTGCTGCTGCGACAGCGGGTTAAAAGCGCAGAACTGGGCGGTGCCGTTCTGCCTGTCAGAACGCGGGGGGGGGGGGGCAGCGGCGGTGATGGTGACGACATCGAGAGGGCGGTTGACGTCGGCTTCGCGCGCGGACGGCCTCCTACACTTCAGATGTTCTTCATGCGCCAGGGGGTCGCTCGTGGACGGATTGAGTCGCGCCGCCTGCGCCTCGGGGGTTTTCCGCGTGAGGCGATGGGGGCTTGGTCCCCTCAAGAAGCAGCTGCGGCAGGGCGGCGGCAACGGGCGCAGCGATTGCTGTGACGGTGAGCTGTTGGTGTCGTGCCCCAAGCGCCTAACGACTGGCTCGTGAGAACGGGGGGGGGGGGGGG